CGTGGTAATTTGATACGTGGTGTTCGGATGAGTGGTAATTCCATACGTGGTACTCTGGCGCTTGGTAATTTGATACGTGGTGCTCTGGCGCGTGGTAATTCGATACATGGTATTCGGACGCGTGGTAATTTGATACGTGGTGTTCGGATGAGTGGTAATTCCATACGTGGTACTCTGGCGCGTGGTAATTTGATACGTGGTGCTCTTGCGCGTGGTAATTCGATACGTGGTATTCGGACGCGTGGTAATTCGATACGTGGTATTCCGACGCGTGGTAATTTGATACGTGGTGTTCGGAATAGTGGTAATTCGATACGTGGTACTCTGGCACATGGTAATTTGATACATGGTGTTCGGATGAGTGGTAATTCAATACGTGGTATTCGAATAAGTGATTAATCTCAAACAAAAAAATGAAATAGCTCCTGAATATTTTAATGCATAACATGCCAGTCGAAAGTGAATTACTCAGCAACCTACGTAACATAAATTTGAAAGCAATTAATTAAACTTCACATTCAAACATAAGATCGCAACAAATAAAGTCATAAATCGTACAAAAAGCGTTGGATGAAATAAAATAAAAAAATGCATTTAATCAAATACTTTCTACGCAGCAGACAAAAAGAAAGCAATTTAATTCACCGTTTCGCGCAACGAAATTAAAATTCTTTCGGTCAAACGTAAATACTGGCACGCGTTTGCGAGAGGATCATGCTCGCTGAATCGAGGGAAACAGTGCTCATAAACGAAAGCCGCGTACAGGCGGCTATTCAAGCGGATCAATTTATTTCCCCGTTGAAACGTGCCAATCCTGATTTACCTGATCTACCTAGCAGCCCCACGATCTATCGATCCATGCACTGGATACGCGAAAATCGCTCGAGTAGACAGTTTCGTAACGAGCTCCACCGTTTCCCGTTTTGCATTTACGGGCCACACTGTTGCATAAATGTATTACACTCGTCGGTCAATTTGTACGGATATTTTTACGGGGTGCTATTAGCTTGTCGAGAGTTTGATTTTTAGGTAATTTACCCCCTTGTGCTGTGAATTATAGTCGTTAGTTGTTTGAATAAATGTAGGTAAATATTGTAAATTTTTATGTTTTTAGTGGAAGTTTTTTTGGGGAAGGTTTTTAAGAGTAATTATAATTTCGGAGAATGAGGATTGCTGTATAGAATAGTGGAGACCTTATCGTCAATTAACATTGCTAGTGTTAAATAACGGCAGTCTGTCGAAGTGAAACAATATACCGGTCTTCGTTACTGAGCGCATTTGTCACTTGGTATCTGCACGTTCCTCAATCTTAAATTTTAAGTCTTGTATTAATAACCACACATACGAAAGTTTACATTTAAGTTTGTCATCGTCAATTGACATTGTCAATGTCAAATAACGGCAGCCTATCGAAGTGAAACAGTATACTGCCCTCCGTAACTGAGTGCATTTGTCACGTGGTATCTGCACGTTCCTCAACCTTAAATTTTAAGTCTTGTATTAATAACCACACATACGAAAGTTTACATCTAAGTTTGTTATCGTCAACTGACATTGCCAATGCCAAATAACGGCAGCCTATCGAAGTGAAACAGTATACTGCCCTCTGTAACTGAGTGCATTTGTCACGTGGTATCTGCACATTGCCCAACCTTAAATTTTAAGTCCTATATTAATAAAGTTTTAAGTCCTGTATTAGTACGAAAATTTATCTAAGTTCTTTCATCGTCAATTACCAATGCAAAATAACTCAGTCCCAAATAGGTAATATTACCCTAACCGATTTATATCCTAGAGACTGCAAATAACAACAAGAGAGCGTCAGAACGACCTTAAAAGAGGTCGTGTAGATAAAAGGCGAATGAACAGACAAGACCTCCGTAGACGAGGAATGACTCACTCGTTGCATTTGTATTACGACTTCGCGAGGGCGTTTTTAGATGCGTTCGTAGGATGTTTTCAGAGAATCTCACGTTTCTAGCATGGCATCTGTGCTTTTAGAATTTTACGATCTTCATAGTCACCCATCTCTTGTTGAATAAATTTTGCGTTTGTGACGCATAGTTATTTTTAATGAGCGCTTGTATAAAAATGAAGCTTAATAAAAATTTGTTCAAAATCAGGTGGTCATCTTAAAATTCCCATATCATTTATGTGGTAAATAATTTATGGTGTAGCTATGTACAGTCAACCTAGAAGTTGTCGAGTTAGATTGACCCAAAGTAAAGAAGCTTTCTATCCCTAGTATAAACATTTTCATAGTCTTCTCAATTCCTAAGACCCCTAATTTTTTTCTACTTAATTGAAACTGTAACTCAACACATCAGCCTCGCATACCAACTCCTGTATTGGCATCAAACATGAAACTTCAATAATTCAGACTTGCATAACTCATCAATGTTATAACACACAAGCTGAATATGCCAACTGAAATCTTTTCCATTCCGAATTAAAAAGAAATCCGCTCCAAAGAGAAAAATAACCGAGATCAAGCAAATCCATGAAAGATGCAGACGCAAATGATGGAATTTGTATTATCATTGTTGGCTTGAAGGACCGCACAGGATTATACCGCAGAATCCAGCTTGACGCAAGTGTCGTTCGCGTATATTTACGTTCACGTGGGAGCTAAATGGATGTTGCACCGCGGAGAATCGGTGAATGGAATACAGTCTCGTGGGACATCCGTCCGTGAAACGTATGCATCGCGGTCGAACCACGTGGGACGTAGCCACTTGTTTGCAATTTTATTTTATCTTAGGCTTGTTGGTGCTTAACCCTTTTGGTTTATGGCACCCTTCAAGTTTATTCGAGTTCGGTGCGGAATGTCGAAGGCTACGTTAGGTTAGGTTGGAGTTTATTCAAGTTTCTTTCCGGTACGGAATGTTGAAGGTTAGGTTACGTTAGGTCGAATATATGAAGGTTAGGTGAAGTTAGGTCGAATATGAAGGTGAGGTTAGGTCGAATATATAAAGGTTAGGTTGAATTAGGTCTAACATATAAAGGTTAGGTGAAGTTAGGTCGAATATGAAGGTTAGGTTAGGTCGAATATATAAAGGTTAGATTGGATCAGGACGAATATTTAAAGGTTAGGTTGGATTAGGTCTAACATATAAAGGTTAAGTGAAGTTAGGTTGAATATGAAGGTTAGATTAGACCTAATATATGGAGGTTAGGTGGGGTTAGATCGAATATATAAAGGTTAGGTTGGATTAGGTCTGATATATAAAGGTTAGGTGAAGTTAGGTCGAATATGAAGGTTAGATTAGACCTAATATTTAGAGGTTAGGGAGGGTTAGAGCAAATATATAAAGGTTAGGTTGAATTAGGTCTAATATATAAAGGTTAGGTGAAGTTAGATTGAATATGAAGGTTAGATTAGACCTAATATATGGAGGTTAGGTAGGGATAGGGCAAATATATAAATGTTAGGTTGAATTTGGTCTGACATATAAAGGTTAGGTAAAGTTGGGTCGAATATGAAGGTTAGATTAGACCTAATATATGGAGGTTAGGTAGGGTTAGGGCAAATATATAAAGGTTAGGTTGGATTAGGTCTAATATATAAAGGTTAGCTGCAGTTAAGTGGAATATGAAGATTAGGTTGGGCCTAATATATAAATGTTAGGTGAGATTAGGTCCAATATGAAGGTAAGGTTAGATTTCAATCGTTGTTACGATTCTTGGTGTACGACTTAAAGTTAATGATATTGAAAGTATATGAAATATATAATGGAAGTATATAATGAGTTTATATACTGCTTCATCGAAACTGCCTTTACTTTCGATTTAATTAACCTGATTTGGCTAGCTGGTTTTATTGTAGTTTAGGTAATGGACATAATGTTATAGTTTAATTTGACACTTTGCTAATGAAACCTAAGATAACCAGAATTAATTTAAGTATAGTAATACGAAGAAACTGCGTTATGCGTAGAAAAACTTATTACATAATTTCAGGATCGATAGTCACCGAGAGTAAGCTATTAAATCAGCGCCATAGAAGGATGCAATGCAGCCCGTTGCATGCACTCTGCACTTCTTCCGTGCATTGTTTCGTTCCCTCTGCCTTTCGAGGACCTTGTATGCAATGACCGAAGTTGAGTTAGGTCAACCCCAGAGTGCAAATTCCTTCTCGGTGCATTGTTCTCTGATGCACCATATTGCATTCCTTTATTTCTGACAAGGGCATATGCGTGCAGCTACCGGAAGGGTTGGAAATAAAAAACCGATCCGAGAAATATTTGTGGAATAAATAAAATGCATGATACGTCACTAGTGAAAGCTACTTTCTACGTTTCACGTGAATTAGTAAACTAATTATAAATTCCTGCAATTCTACGCTTATGTAAATGCTGGAAATGACTTACCCTGTAACAAAAATCCATGCAGCGCGAGGTTCATGGCTACGATCAGTCCCTTCAGCCTGGAACAAAGAAGTATCATTTTAACAGTAATTTAGAATTTACGAAATTTATTTGACGGTTTCGAATCGTCGATGATCGATAAAATCCGAACATGTGCACGCACCACTCGAAGGTCCTCGAGGAACAATGGCCGCGTTGCAGCGGAAACAATTCAGGTCGAGCACGTATAACGCGTAACGGTGCTCTCGGGCACAAAACGGCAAACGCAACAACAGCCTGGAATTATTAGGCTACTGCATTCATTGGTGTTATAAGTTCCGAATTATTGTTTTTAATATTTAAAATTTTCTTAGACCTTCAAACTTTTATCAACCTTTAGAGGAACGTTTATCAACGTTTCCCATTTATGGGGTTTTCAACGTTTCTCATTTATAGGTTAGGTTTCTAAAATGGCCATTGATCTATTGATCATTGTGCTCAAATTTTAAACTATGTACCAAAATATTTATACATAAACTACAAAACCTGTAATTCCCAAAATCCACAAAAAAACATTGTTCTGCAAAACACGAGCATAAAGGAAGAAATAATTCCGTCAGAGCTGGTAATAATAGTGACGTAGCCCGCGAACCACCCGGTGGCCCATCACGAAGACTCGTCGATCCTGCAGGAACATCGAGGTGAATACAAAATCGAGGAACACGGTCGACGTTCACGTGCGTGCAATCGGTAATGAACCGTGCTCTCTCGTCTTTTGTATCGTAAACTATGAGCTGTCGGGGGATTCGCGTTCGAGCTGACGTTTCAGAAAAATGGAAAAATCCTTCGCTGTTCTATACACGAATCTCGTTCAGACACTTTTGTTCGCTATATTAGTTATAAACAACTTCAGTTGACTACTGAATTAGTTATAAAGATTGTTTAAAATAAAGTGAAAAATATTTTGTTTTTAAAAAATGTTCATTTTAAAAAAAAATCATATTTGTTTGCACTCAAAAGATGGCTCGAAACATTTGATTTAAATCTATAATATGAAGTAGGTAGTTTTTAATGAAATCTAGAGTGCTATAGCAGAAGAATAATAATTTTTTTAAAAATTCATTAGGTCAATGACAAATTTTAAGATTGCCATATGCAACAGCAAAAATACCTTCAAGTGCAAACAATTATTTTTCACTCATAAAATGTTGCAACAATTACAAAATTCTATCAATCACAACCATTTTTCTTCATGAATTTTTAACAATGTACACATATTGCATATAGTAACAATGTATATATTACATATACTGTCTAATTTTTATTAAAATTGTTAGATGAGTGAGTAACATATGTCTACAAAAAAGGGTAAGTAAATCGAACATGTGCATAAGAAAGTAGAACCGATTATTTTCTCCTCTTTACATCCGATATGCGGGTCTCTTTCGTCTCAAAGACGATTTTCACCTTACGTAAAACCGGCACATCGGCCGTGACTCGTTTCCATGGCGAACGACTTTCCCCGATTCTGTATCGCGAACGTTACAAGCTTTAAAAAACGATCGATGCCACGCCTTTGGCCATCTGGCAGAAAATTACATGACGGTTTCAAGCGTGGCTCTGTACATGTTGCTGACTGAAGATATATGTGCAGTCAATATGTGTATGTTCATGTGTGCAGTCAGTATGTGTATATTCATATGCGAAGACAATATGTGTATGTTCATATGTGCTAGTCAGTATGTGTATATTCATATGTGAAGACAATATGTGTATGTTCATATGTGCTAGTCAGTATGTGTATATTCATATGTGAAGACAATATGTGTATGTTCATATGTGCTAGTCAGTATGTGTATATTCATATGTGAAGACAATATGTGTATGTTCATATGTGCTAGTCAGTATGTGTATATTCATATGTGAAGACAATATGTGTATGTTCATATGTGCTAGTCAGTATGTGTATATTCATATGTGAAGACAATATGTGTATGTTCATATGTGCTAGTCAGTATGTGTATATTCATATGTGAAGACAATATGTGTATGTTCATATGTGCTAGTCAGTATGTGTATATTCATATGTGAAGACAATATGTGTATGTTCATATGTGCTAGTCAGTATGTGTATATTCATATGTGAAGACAATATGTGTATGTTCATATGTGCATTTTAAAAAAAAATCATATTTGTTTGCACTCAAAAGATGGCTCGAAACATTTGATTTAAATCTATAATATGAAGTAGGTAGTTTTTAATGAAATCTAGAGTGCTATAGCAGAAGAATAATAATTTTTTTAAAAATTCATTAGGTCAATGACAAATTTTAAGATTGCCATATGCAACAGCAAAAATACCTTCAAGTGCAAACAATTATTTTTCACTCATAAAATGTTGCAACAATTACAAAATTCTATCAATCACAACCATTTTTCTTCATGAATTTTTAACAATGTACACATATTGCATATAGTAACAATGTATATATTACATATACTGTCTAATTTTTATTAAAATTGTTAGATGAGTGAGTAACATATGTCTACAAAAAAGGGTAAGTAAATCGAACATGTGCATAAGAAAGTAGAACCGATTATTTTCTCCTCTTTACATCCGATATGCGGGTCTCTTTCGTCTCAAAGACGATTTTCACCTTACGTAAAACCGGCACATCGGCCGTGACTCGTTTCCATGGCGAACGACTTTCCCCGATTCTGTATCGCGAACGTTACAAGCTTTAAAAAACGATCGATGCCACGCCTTTGGCCATCTGGCAGAAAATTACATGACGGTTTCAAGCGTGGCTCTGTACATGTTGCTGACTGAAGATATATGTGCAGTCAATATGTGTATGTTCATGTGTGCAGTCAGTATGTGTATATTCATATGCGAAGACAATATGTGTATGTTCATATGTGCAATCAGTATGTGTATGTTCATATGTACAGACAGTATGTATATATTCATATGTGAATACAATATGTATATGTTCATATGTGCAGTCAGTATGTGTATATTCATATGCGAAGACAATATGTGTATGTTCATATGTGCAATCAGTATGTGTATGTTCATATGTACAGACAGTATGTATATATTCATATGTGAATACAATATGTATATGTTCATATGTGCAGTCAGTATGTGTATATTCATATGCGAAGACAATATGTGTATGTTCATATGTGCAATCAGTATGTGTATGTTCATATGTACAGACAGTATGTATATATTCATATGTGAATACAATATGTATATGTTCATATGTGCAGTCAGTATGTGTATATTCATATGTGCAATCAGTATGTGTATGTTCATATGTGCAGTCAGTACGTGTGTATTCATATGTGCAGTCAATATGTATATATTCATGTGTGTAAACAGTATGTGTATGTTCATCAGTATGTACATGTATGTTCACCATATGTGCAAACAGTATGTGTATGTTCATCAGTATGTATATGTATGTTCACCATATGTGCATCAGTATGAATCAGTATGAATCACTGGGGTCCTTAGAATCACTGTGAATCCTTAGCATCACTAGGATCCTTAGAGTACTTAGGCTCCTTAGAGTACCACCTTAGAGTGGTACCTAGTACCCTAGGTGTCCTCAGTGCCCTCAATGTCTTCAGAATAATTGAAACCCCTAGGACCCCTAAGATCCTCAAAATTCCTAGATAACACCTTGTCCATAACATCTTGATGACCCATAAAGTGTCTAACAACACCAGAACATCCCAAAAACCCTAATAGTCCCTAAAGTCCTAACTTTAGATCTACATATGTGAATGAACATATGTGAACATATGTAAACATAGTAACAATTAAACACTCCTCTGTCCCCAAATGCAATTTTGTATGAAATAATAGTAAAAAGCAAATGGCTGATATTGGTATCGATTTTCCCCAACAGAGTTCTAATTCAGTGGTCGAGAAGGAAAGTGAATTCCAAGCGGAACGGTAACCACCCGTTTAGCATACCTTTTGACGTTGTTGTTCTTCACTTTTGCTGTTCGTCTCCTTTTTGTCTATTTTGGAAAGTAGAAAACCCAAGGACGTCTGTGGCAACCGACGAACTACATTGCTTCTGTACGCATGAAGTGGACAATCGCTAAAGAATTTCTGCGATGATAATAATAAATCTGTTGTGTACATGGTTGTTAATTGAGTAATAATTTTATATGAACCTGATTTTTGACATATGATGATTTTAAAGGGTTATAAATCTTCATATGTGGTCCTGACGTGATGGCCACTTATACTCTAATGATCAAGTTCACTCAAATTTATATCCTAATGATCAAGTTCACACAAATTTATATCCTAATGATCAAGTTTACTCAAATTTACATCCTACTGATCAAGTTTACTCAAATTTACATTTTAATGATGAAGTTTACTCAAATTTACATCCTACTGATCAAGTTTACTCAAACTTATATTCCAATGAAGAACTCTACTCAAATTTCCCAATAATCACAGCAATCAACTTTACTTAAATTTACCTCCTAATGATTAACTCTATTCAAACTTATATCCTAATAATCAACACTACTCAAATTTATATTCTAGTCGGATCAACTTGACTCAAATTGATATCCTAACAATCAACTCTACTAAAATTTCCCAATAATCTAAATAATGAAATTTAATGAAATTTGTATCCTAGTTTACGTTATAAATGATACATCAAAGCACTGAAAGAATCTAGTGTCAAGGTAACGTCACAAAGAGTTTATTTCTTAACTGGTTGATTTAAGATCCGCCTGAAGCGGTCACATTCGAGCGCATCCTCGACTTTCTAAAAGCGATCGACTCGATCGTGCGAGTTTTATTCAAGCCCCAGTCACGAGCTCGATTCTGTTTCCAAAGAAAACGATTTTCCAGAGACAACGCGTTACGTTACGTTGACTCACAATCCAGTTCGAGAACGACTCTCGTTTCCGGCTTTGGATCGATAGACCGGATATTGCCTGCAGTCTCGCGTGTCCAACCTCTTCGATGATCTAGATCTTCGTTCTCTTCCTTCTCTCTTTGCCAATGCGTTCTCCTCTTATAATTATAGCTACATTT